TTTTTTTTTTTTTTTTTGTTCTTTTGGGTTACTACCGTTTCAGTTTGATTATTTTCTTGGTGTATATATGTGTCTAAATCAGCAGTGCTAGATCTGCACCATTGTCAAATAACTTATATTTCGAGTAGTGCAGAGCTAAAAGTTGAATTTTTTTTTGAAATTCATAGCATCCACTACAATCTCATGAACTGTGTTTGCAATAAGCGTTCTGAAACTTTATAGAACAATAACCTTTGGTGACTGTTAGAATAACAGATCAAATTTCTATACTTCACCAATTTGTTCCATGAAATAAATTAGTTGTCGTTATCTTTTTTGGGAACAAAAAGCATTTACAATTGATAATATTATACCACAGAGATTTTTCATGTAGTCAGCGGCTAGAATACCGCCCTGGTGAGGTACATAAAGAGATTTAAATTCTCAGGTGAAACACCATGCAATTGCATTTAGCACTAAATCAAAATAAAAGTTAATGGTGATTTTTTAACAGAGTCTTATTTTTTAACTTCTGCTAAATAATGCGACTTTGTGGGGTTAGCACTCATACTAGACTTTTAAATTTGATAACCATAATTCTATAATTATAGACCATTGCTAAATGTGTTCAAGAAATGTTTCATTTCAGTTCCATTTTTGAATAAAAGTTTTTAGACGTACAATTTCTTTTGACCTCGGCCGAAACAATTTTTCACTCTGCTCTCCTTTACCTGGAAAGTATCGGACATTTCGTCTCTGACGAGACGTACTTATATACTTTATTTAAATGAATTTGCAAATGGAAAAGAAGAGTACTGACTAATGCTTTAATTGCGATTGGTGTAATACAACGAGAATCACAAAATTGGCATTTAAAAGTCTTATAATCAGAAATGTTCGAATTTTAAGGCTGTTTGCAAGACAAACTGAAAAAAAAGCTTTGAAAGAAAAAGCAGGGTTGGAAAAGAAGCATTTTGAAGCTACCAATCGTCTAAATTGAATTTTAGATAATTATTTGTACCGGTATCAAAAAAAAAAAACCTTTGCTGGAGCCGATCGTGGATTGGAACTCTAAGAGCAAAAGAAACTACAGTGACTTTAGGCGGAAAGGCGCTCGGTTTGAAGCTTCTTTCTCTGTGTGTTTTATTTTATCATCTGAAAACATTTTGCACTTTTTAGAGTTACCCCGGTTTTTTGACCGTTTGATGATTAAATCTTTTCCTTTTTTTTTCGCCTTCTTTGTTCTTCTACCTTCCTCCTGCTCCCTTTTTTTTGCAAAAAAAAAAAATAAATAAATGAATATATAAAAACGCAAGACGTACGCAAAATGTCTTTATTGAGGCGTATGTTACTAAATTGCTTTCCACCTTTCTTTTCTTCTTGCCACTTCTCTGTTTTATTTTTTTGCTTGATTCTGTTTTCGCTTTTTTTCCGCTTCTTCTTATTCTATTCACAACACCTTTTTTGAACATCTAAAAACAAAGATAGCAAGAAAAGAAAAGGAATATATATTTTGCTATGTTCGGCAAAAAAAAAAAACTAACATCAACAGTAGCGGTGAAAGAAGCAAATGGAAAAAAAAATTTTGAGGGGCTTGGGAAAACGTCGGAACGACAAGCAGCGGCATCGGCAACGGCGGCAGCCACAGCAATAAGCACCCAAATTCCGTAATGATGAATTTTTGCATCTATGATTAAGCTTCCAGGAACGCATTTCTTGAAGCCTATGGTGATGAAATCGAGTTGAAGCTTAAAGTGTATAGGGTGCCAGTAA